TAACCCCATCAAATACCAGTCACACACGTTAGGTATTGCCATGACAATTTTACATGAAAACCGTATTACTAAAATCCAGTTGTTGCTCGCGACATCGCCCAATTGAAATTAAAAATAAAGTAAAAACTGGCTATGTTACTTAGCAGTAACATAGGTTTTTAATGATAGGGATTTTTTTTAAATCGGACCAGAACTTTTTTTAGTTATTTCAATACATACAAAAATACAAATCTGTCCTCTTCATAATATTAAGTATATGTGTAACATATTTACTAGAATATTTCTGGCAACAAAAATAGTAAAATATACACATAAAATAGATAGATCGTAAAGGACCATTGCAGACAGTTCTCTACGTTGAATGATCTTTGACATGGAAATTCAAACTCATCAAAGCACTGGTAGCGTCGAGTGCAAACTGCGAAAAGTTTCGAAACGTACATCACTTTACTTTAGCAACAATTTGAAGTTTTACGATGCGAAATATTTTAGTGTGCATTTCGTAATAAAATTACTCTTTTAATTAATTTTCCGGTTAACTTATACTGCATTATTGTTTTACTATACTAATAACATGAATATGAAATTTTTGTATGTATTGAAATAACTCGAAAACTACAAGGCCCATTTTGAAATATTCTTGCAATTCTTTTTAACAGCAAGTAACTTATAATTATGCATTATAATTTACTTCAGCATACAAAAAGAAACCCGTGAATAAAACATAATATGAAAAAATATTCTACTTTCTCATATTATTAGTTGTTTTAATATGTTCTTAAACAATTATGTACTTAGCTGATTACGTGTTTCCGACAAATATGAATACTCCTAGACACCTGCATCCGTTATGATTGTTAAATCATAATATTTTGTTTCGTTATACGAAGAAACCAAACAGTTGTTATAAAATATAAAATATGGCACAAAAGACTACTTTGTTGTAATATTGATTTTGTACTGCTACTAAATATTTTAAGATAGTACTTGTGTAGATTTAAGCCTCGTTTTCACTATACTTTATGTGAACGAGAAGTATTGTATTTGTAGAATATTACATTCTGATGATAGTGTTTGTTTTTGTTTTTTAAATATTTTTCTACCAACTGTCAAAATCTTAATCCTAATGATAATGTTACTTTTCTTTTAAATTTGATGATGTTTTTTTTATGAATTTTGATTTAAGTTTTATTATCAAAGGACGATAACTCAACGCCTGCTTTATGTAGACTAATAATTGTAATCAAAATGCAATTTCGATACACATGGTTGCCTTATTAATAATTGCATATGCAATTAGGTCCTAGACAATGACCGGTCTCAAGCCAAACAGGATGCATTTACCACTCGAGACGTTCCGAGTGCTACACTCAATAACAATTTATACTTTCTTTAATGTTTTATTGAATATTGCTGTTACTGTAATTTAGTGGAGTTCAAAAATTTCTTTTCAACCCCTATTTAAAACTTAAAGTTAAAAGTGCATAGTTACCGCTCGTCTACCTAGAGACAGATGTGTAAAATTTTAAAGTTTTACGTCCACTAATTTGACCACGCCCCGGGTCTAGACTGAATTGTGTCTCAATCGTTCAGTAATTCAGTTTTATCTATCATCAATATGTATTCGTATGTAAAAATGAAAAATGTAAGAGTTGAAAAAGGTAAAATTCCAAGATAAATCGTTGGGAAAAACAAATCACATTTCGTAACTTCTAAAACCTTCCATGGTTGAGTATAGCAATAAAAGGAACGATCTTGCAAAAGTTCGATAAACATTTCAGGCTTCTCTGAATTGATTTTAACTTAAGCGTTACGATTTACCTTGAAAGTTTTCCTCGAAATTTCAATTCTGACAACAGTAAATATTTTTGTCTGGTTCTTTTATTTTTGCAAGTAATTACATTAGACTAAAGACGTCGACAATTAATTTTAATTAATCCTAACTGAGCGAAGGAATTGATGTTAAGGTGCAGCTGTGTGCTGTAAAAACACTACATCATATTCTTGTAATTGTTGGTCAGACAAAAGTACTGATGTTGTTTTTTTTAATATTTAACAAAGTACTTAATAGTGTTAGTGTTCTATAACATGCCAGTATTTTATAGATAGTGTTAAAGAAAAAATGACATAATAATGATTATTTTAGTGTTCTATTATTGCTGGAGACTTAACATAATAAAGGAATCCATTAATGGGCGATAAAATATCACGTCTGCTTCGGCCAGAAATAAAACTCACATACCTGAAGGTTTATTCACTTTCTCGCTTATCCTGATAAGTTAGGAGTACGTACAGTTTGTATGGCCACACACGAAACTCGACTCTTATGGTATAGTTACTAAAATTTGTCATGATATGTAAGTGTGATTGAAATAGTGAAAGATAAAATTTAAAAATGTTTTCGCATCTCAATTAAAATACAGAAAAATAAGTATTTTTTTAGATACTATTATAAATAAATAGTGAATTGAGATATATCGGCTCTATAGGGAACATCTGGCGACTGTCTAGCTAAAGTCTAGACGAATCGACTTGTTTCCGATAGGGCATCGATATAATATTGTTCGACATTTTAAGGAAGAAAATCTAAAATACATTAAGTGCTGCAATCTAAGTCACTAAATAATTATTTAAATCATTAATATAGAAATTTATTTAAGGAACTCCCTCAGTGACTATTCCGCATGTTGTGAATTAGCGTCGCCCAACAATTTTTAATTTGCAATCCTGTAAAGCGCCAATAGCCCAACAGTTTGGAGTACGGACTACCGATCATGCGGTCCAGGTTTCGAATCCCGCCATTCGACTATCATCGTGAACCACATCCTAGCACAAGCGTAAAGCTTAGTTGGAATGGTTAAAGGATATATTAGTAAATTAACAAAATTTACTAATGGTTTTATGAAAAAAAATAGCGTTTTGGACTTGCAATAGTTTACGAAGGAGCTATCGATATGTATGTCAGTTTTTAAAATATTACATTACACATTTATACTGTTAGATACCCACATTGCTTCTTATCAATGTACAAAAATACTTGAGGCGAAAAATTGGTTGAACTTAATGAAGGCAAAAAAAGGCTTAGGTCTCATCTCTTTTAAGCTACGTGCTGTAAATCTTCCACTCGAGAGCTATTAAATCTCTACACTCACCTGCTTTCATTGACGTTCCCTAGATTTGCATATTAAAGTGGACTGCTTCATGTTAGCAAGGTGACGTCATTACATATCATATATGTCTGACGTTACATCACACAATATACGCAACATGTATCTCTTTGGTACCATTTAAATATTTTTTCTTTAATACCGAAAATTAAATATATTTTAGTTTCGTTTTGCATTAACTTCATTGAAAATCTTAACATGTATGTTTACGTCAACAACATAATTTAATTTCTCTCATTGTAAGGCACGAAATGAAACAATTGAAACATTGTACGTTTAATTCAAGACGTAAGTCTCCAGTCTTGATTATTGTTAGACTTATTTAGAGTTGGTTATATCGTGTGCACGCACTGACGTCGAGTCAAATGCATCAGTTGATGTCCATTGCTCGAGGCGCGCGCTCTTTTCAATACCATTATAAAACTTTATTTCACCGAGTGACAAACTTTATTTAATCAATAAATATTATTATTTAATTTAATTTATGATTAACTATTTTAATGGCATAATGTGAATAGTGTAAAACGGTTTTAAAATGTGATTTGATTTATATTGTGTGATTTATTAGTGAACTTAACAGATATACGTAAGTGAAGTTCTATCAGTTTACATACTAAATAATTAACTATTGTAAAATAAACCTCATTTAGATATAGTTATGACATATTTTTGAAATAACATTTAAAAATTCTCTAATAAAAATTACAATAAACAGACAGAATTAACAGTTAATATAATAAACATTAAAATAAGAGTTGAACAAGTTTGTTGTAAAAGTTGTTACAGTTAAATTAACTAAAAAGTAGTAAATAAAGAGAAATACCAACTTTTGGTAAACCTTTTCTTGATAAAAATGTCAAATATACACTTCAATGGCAATTTAAGGCTTGAATATAAAATAATCAATGATTCTATGGAACTCGTCGCTAAACTTCTTTCTATGCCACCCATAGACAAAACGATGTAATCTATGTACAAGGATGTAAGAATCATCCACTCAACTGATGGATTGACCTGAATAACGAACGGATGCCGCCCATTGCCGATTGAGACTGCTAAATTCCGCCCCGGATGACGTACCGATGTTTTTATAATAATAAAACTTTTAATACCACTCAAGTCACATTACAAATACCTATTTAAACAATATGTTTATGTAAACTTAAACTATCTAATGTAAACTTTGAGATACTATTTATTTATCTATTGTAAAATAATAGTAATCCTTAATTGCTTAGTTAAGTTAATTAGGTAAAATAATTAAGTTTGAATACCTAATACTTTTGTAATACATTTCGAATATTTAACTTTTTTCTAATGTTTTTATCATTATTATTATTAAAATGAAATCCTATCATACTAATATAAATGCAAAAGTTTAGATGGATGGATGGATTGATGGATGTTTGTTAGACTTTGTAGCCTAAACGGCTGAACCGATTTCGTTGAAATTTGGCATAGATGTAGAGGATAGTCTGGAAAAACATATAAGCTACTCCCTTTTGTTTTTTTTTAATTCCACGCGGACAGAGTCGCGGGCGACAGCTAGTACCTAATAAAACTACAATACATAAAATATAACAAAATATGGAATTCTTATAAAAACATCTATCGTTAAAATTTTCCTCTTAACCTAATTTAAATAAGTTTTGTTATTTGCGTAATCATAAATACTTTGTACAAAGGAATCGATACTGACATTGGTCCCTCTATGGGGTTGATTCACGCACATGCATATATTTGTAACCATTATGACGTCACAATTATTATTACTTGGTCAACAAGGATCGATAAAGTAAACCAATGTTATTTGAGCTCTTGCAATCAGCTGTCATTCCCCCTGTTATTTCAAGTTTTGAAGGGTCATGTGGGGAACAGAGGTCTTAATAAAATTGGTTACTATAGTATGTTTTGTACAAACACTAATATAAATATACTTGGGGTTCAATAAGCCGAGCAGTAGGTCGCGGAGTCGCCACCCGTGCCGTGTTGCGATAAAAATACTTGAACTTTATCTTTGTAAATATTAATTTTACTTAAGTTGACGTGGCTTACTTAGCTGTGACTGGGTTTAAAAAGGCTAGTTTTCAATATTGCTTTCATTATGTGTATTTTATTTTTTGATCGATTTATTTGCTTTTGCTGTGAGTCAGTTCACACCCCTATTGTCCAGTTATTGTGGAATATGCTAAAATTATTTTTCTAGTAAATGTTATACACCAAAGGACTACGTAAAATTCTCTTGTTTCTTCCTAGTTTTTAGCTTTTATTTCATAAGTTACGGAAGTCTCTTAATAATTTATTACAGTGTTTATAAAATGTGTATATTAATATAAATGCTTGTGAAACTTCGTAATATATCACGTGTCCTCCATTGAGAAAACATATTGCGTAGGCAGTAATTTTCAAAAGCCCTTTTGTGTATCACTCGAAGTAGAGCAGCAGTCTATGTACCGTACTCTCTCGTAATGAGAAGAGCCCATGGGGATACTTCAATGTATAATAAAAGGGCTAAGAAGTTAAACACCCTTGTATCTTTTTTTTGTTATAAATAAAAATATATATTCTTTTACTGTAAAAGATAATCATGTAGGTCCAGATTGTTAGGTTTTTGTATTAATGGTAGCTATTTTTTGCAGGTAAAAGCGGTCTGTCTGCAAGTTCCAGTCGTTCCACCAGCCCGCTAGGGCAAGGAGCTATCAGCTTCATACCACGTGCGCCTGGATCATCATCTGGGTAAGAATTTGTATAATACTATTTAATTATAACAATTGTAGACGAGAATCAAGTACTTCTATTATTCATACAAACTATAAATATTTAATTTAATAATATGACAAAATATTTTTCTTTTCAGATCACGGCCTAATTCGTCGTTATTAGCTCCTGGTAGCAAAATTCCATCACAGTTCTCTCAAACGCAACAACATGCTCCGACGTCTCACAATGGAACGCCCACAAAACAGTCCATGTTAGATAAATTAAAACTATTTAATAAAGATAAAGTAGCAAGCGAAAAACAAAGTAGCAAAAGTACTGCAGTTTCGAAACGCACCAGTTCCTCAAGTGGATTTTCTTCCGCTAAAAGTGAAAGATCAGATTCTAGTTTAAGTCTCAATGAGTCTTCTAATACTCCGAATACACATATCAAATCATCTAATTTAATAGGACCTAAAACTATTAGACAAAACGATACATTATCAAGAGACAAATCAGGCAAGAATGTGAAATCAAAACTTGTTAATTCTAAAGGCACAAAAGAAGCTTCCTCTAGTATAAATAAAAGTAGCATTAGAAGTAGCAGCAATGACAAAACTAGCAATAGTCCGAAGTTGCCAGCACGAGATAAGGAATCCAAAATAGCGGCTCCAAAATCGGTCAGTAATACTAAATTAAATGTGATCGAGGATCAAACCAGAAGTTCTAAATCTAAAATAGATTCGAAAATGGTTAAACTGTCAGGTAGTCAAATGAAACTTGCTGAATCACGATCAGATACTGCAGAGGGTAAATTCCAAGATAATATAAATGGTCAATCTAAAAATTTAAATAATCAGTCTCACTCACCGACTGGTCAGAATCCTTCAGGGCCGAATCATACAGGTATTCCAAAACCAACAGCTGCTGTTAAGGGTACTACTAAAATATCAAAAGAAGATAGACATATCATTCATAAAAGCACCAATAGTCAGTTAAGTCCGATCCAGAGTAATTCTAGTTTAAATTCTACTAATAATGTTAGCATTCATCCATTTTCAAGAGAACAATCTAATTTAAGTAAGGAAATTACGCAAAAGCAAACATTAGCTGTTTCCCCGATGCCAATGGTGAACGTGGGAACGCAAAATTCTTCGTCACAAATGTCCGAAAGCTCACATTCAAATTCTACACATAGCACTACCGGCCAACAGTCCAATTCAAGCGACGGTAGTGTAATTTACCGCCCATCCAGTGAATCTGGATCCGAAATGTCGAGAACAAATAATATAACTCCTAATAAAAGAATGGACATGAATGCTACTTATATTAACAATGTGATAAACGAGGCGGAGCTATCGGAAAAAGAGGCTGCACAAAAGCGTCATGATAATACAGGTCATAAACAATTTTTTGATCATAGTAGAACATTGACTGAATTTAGCAAAAAACAAGAGACTGATAGTAGATCAAGTACTCCTTCACATTGCCGTGACAATTCACTGGGGGAAGACGAAAATCCCTTGATGAACGTAATGCCTATGAGGCCGTTACTACGAGGTTACAACAGTCATTTAACACTACCAATGCGTACTTCTGGTTTAGCGCAGAAGAACATACCTGGATATCCCCATCACGCAAACACAGTCAAAGCAAATTTTGGACGAGAAAATATGGGGTTGCGTGAACGTCTGAATTACGGTCCAGCATTTTCTAACCCTGATTATTGCGATCTTGATATTGCTTCCGGTTATATGTCAGATGGTGATTGCTTGAGAAGATTAAATGTGAACGAAATGGATTGTGGTAGGAATAATGATATTATGGATGGATATATGTCTGAAGGCGGAGCATCGCTGTACGGTCGCAGAATCAATTATCAGCAAGCTTCGCAGTTTCAACAACTTGATGACAGGTAAGATTATTTCTAGTCACTAACTTAATTTTACCGCAGTAATATAATTAAGATTGAAACGATCTTTTTTGTTCCGTTCATCGTGCTATAGAATTCAACGTATATTTTTGTTTGCCCTAAAAGTATTGTGTTGTTCATTTTCCAATAGCATTCGCCGGGTTGCAATCCACAAGTGGTCGCTCGCTTCTGTTACTATTAAACATGTTCCCTACATGTGCATGTATTTCTTTCATTGTAAAGATTTTAAAAATGAATTACGTAACACTAACTTCTATATAAACTTAATAACATCTAGTTTTAAAGAGTTCAGCAATTCTTTAAGGTCTAATGTAAAATACGTTTAGCAAACACAAGGAAATGAAGTACGCAGTTGAAGGAAGTAAGGAAATATATTATGCTCTCCCTAGAGGATATGTCTCGAGGAGAAGGAAATTCACATTGCATTATCTAATTTTATTATTCCACTACAATTTCATGCATTCTTAAAGGTTTAAAATTTCAACAGAAATGTAAACCTTGTCCTTGCTAAAAAACAAAGAGTTAAATATATTATTCCAAATAGGATTTGTCTTATTATAAATAATGTCTTTGTTAGTGTTCGATTTCGAATGTGTGCCTATGACGATATCCGAGCAAGGACTCGTATGGCGCACTCACACTGTCGCATCGCTTGGGGAGAGGGCGGGGTGACTTAAAATCGATACGTCCTCCGTCCCACCCCGCCCCGGACCCCGCAGATCCCGCGCCCCGCTCTCACCACGCCTTAACCCTAACCACCCCTAACAACTTCGACCCAATCGAGACCTTAACGATCACGAAATAAAATCGCTCTTCTGAAAGCTGACGAGTAATGTGCGCTCTTCGTTATTTGCAGCTATCGTTATTATGTTTTCCCATGTTTGTCAATAGATATATAGAATTTATTCCTATAATAAAATCCATCTCAAAATGAGAAAATCAAGTGATATAAAGCTCTGAAACATTTTAATCAATTGATGACGATCAGAATAGAT